CTATGCAGGGGGTCGGACTCGATGATCTACTGAGGTCCCTTCCAACCCTAACATCTATGAATCTATGAATCTATTAAACTAATTCAGACATCTAGGCTGGGTCCCAAAAACAGTTGTTCCTTCCCTTCCTTGAGATAATGTTCCCTTTTTGAAACTGCCACAGTTCTTTTTCTTTTCTGAATTCCCAAATCATTCCCTTTCCAGGCATTGTTGCAGAACAGCTCTCGAGTGTTTGGCTCAACTTATTTTTCAGCGCTTCCCTTCCTACTTGGCTTTTCTTGATGGTCAGACCATCAAAGTGTATTCACAACTTACTACAGAGCACCTCCAAGTCCATCAAAGTCATCCTTAAATTAGTATTTGGATTCCTTCCAGAGGGAATACAGGCACTTCTTAAGTTCACCATGCCAGGATTTTGGAATAAAAATATTAAATAGGGAAAAAAAATCTTTGAGATCACTTGTTTAAAATTGCTTCAAGAGGCCTTGGCAGAATTTAAACATTGATTATTTTTATGAAGTCTCCTAATAATAGAAATGTTAACAAAGATAACATTAGCAACAAATCGTGGGTAGGAGTGTTTTATGTATGTGTGTACGTGCATCTAATATATGTGTGCGCTGATATGTGTACTGATATATGTGATGTGTGTGTGTGGTGTTTTATATCTGTGCATTTAGATAATACGCACCTTCCCATCACTATTTCCCCAAGACATTGCAGTATTGCTCTATGATATAACAGGCTGAACCTAATGACAGAAAATGACACAGATTAGTCTATTTTTATTGTAATGAAAAAAAAATTAAGAAAAATCCACCACCATGCATTTTTATTATTAATCTTAAGGCAATTAATATTTTTCTTAAAACCCCTGCTCTGGCAATCCTGGCATTTCATAAGACTCTCTGCTTTCATTTAAATTCAGGAAAAACTATAGTAAATTTCTAGCCTGGGTGGTCATAGAGGAAAGCTGGAAAACGTTTCTTCAGAGACTGCAAGGAAAATATCCGAAATTGAAACGTCATTAGAGATTTTGGAAATGTCCTCCCGTCCTGTTTTTAAACTAAAAGCATGGGTTTGGAGGGCCCAGTTCAGGAGTTTTGAGTGTTTGGGTAGGCAGTGCCAGGTGGGCCGTGTAGGCTTGTCCCCGTTACCTGACATGCAGGAGTGGTATAAAACAGGAGTGCCCAAATCACTTGGCACCCCAGGTCAGAGCTACACCATGCAGGCTGGATCTGGACCCACATCCAGGAGCAGGGCAAGGGGTGGTGCCGGCAAACATTGTAGGTTCCTGATTTGTTGGGTCAGCTCAGAGAGCCACAGGGATTAACGCATCCATCGTTCATCCCACCACTGTCCAAATGTGTCCCTAGCAGGGCTCTGTACCCTGGACTGAGATGGTCAGCCCCCTGTTCACCTGCCCCCAAATCCTTGACTTCTTCAGGGGCTGGAAGCTATGGCTCCAGGCCCTGGATCTGGCCCACGGGCTGTATCTTCAGCACCACTGGTATAGCAAGTCCTACCTCCCCCCATGGTAGATGTCAATATTTAATGGCTCCAGTGCTCCAAGATCCTCAAAGTCTCATTTCTGAACTGCACCTCTTGATATTTCCTTTTAATTTGACAGCATCTGCCTCGAAGCCGGGCTTTCATCCGCTCTGATGTTCTGCTTTTAAAAAACAGATCCGTTTACCTGCCGCGTGTTTTCCTAATGATCCTAGCTGTTTGCATTTAAATGGTGTTTGGTTAAGCGGAGGCCTTTGCCGCCTCATCTCTGAACCTACGGAAAAGTCGGCGCGCCAGATTGGTAACATCCTCAAATCGTTTTCGTGGCTGTTGACTTGGCGTTCCATAGCGTACAATTATAACTTCGTTTCAGGAGGGAGGAGGAGGAAAGGGAACCCTTTATTAAAGCCACAAATATTAGAAAGAAGGAGGTTAATTTCTTAGGAGGTGTCGGCTTTGTTAGCGACAGTGGCGGTTAGCACATTTTATGTGCAAGGATTCTCTCCTTTGTAATTGCTGCAGCCTAGTCATTCCCACTGGTGCGAGTGGGGCCGTGCGTGTGCGGACTCATGAAATACCAGACAGGGTAAAACAGCCAGATCAAGACAAGATTAGACTCGGGCATGGGACTGACAATCATTATTAAGCTTCTCCATGGAGGTATCCTAGAAGAGCGTTGCTCTGTCACCGCCCTGGAAGGCAGGGCTAGGCCAACGTGTGTTCGCAGAGTCGGTGCAGTTCAGGCACAGGGTGCGCAGCTGCTCTCACATGTAATATGGAGGTGTAGGTGGTAACAAAATAGAGGTGAAGCATATGAGAGGCAGTGTATGATAGAGGTGAAGCATATGAGATGAAGCATCTGATGCTTCATCTCATTCCCAAACTCCAAGACCTGAACAGCCTGGTCCCTGCCATGCTTTGCCCCGCAGTCTTTGCAGGTCATGTACTTGCTTCTTAAAAGTGACTATGGCTCCAGTCAGCTAAGGAAAATTAGGTCTGGTCTTGAAGAAGCTCTTGAAAAAGCTTCCAGTCAGCAAAATTAAGGCTTCCCTGCCTTAAGAGGAGAAGAGGAGTCTGGAGAAGAGAGTGCTCTCTTTCCTTTTGATTTATTCTCTTCCACATCTTATACTGGTGTCATCTCCAGGCTCTTTGTACATCACCTCTACTCAGTGACATGACTAGTGTTGGTTGGGTGGGTTTCTCTCCCCCTTTTTTCCTTGTTGGGAAAACGAGGTGAGGTATCAGTTTCTTATTTGAATGTAATTTTGTTGTGCTGGTGGTCAAGGCTCCTTGCACTTGGGGTTAGAAAGTGGTGGGGTTCAAGGCAAGTTGCAAGTCGGGTGGGAGTTGGTTTCGACCATCTGCAAATCTAAGAGCCGTCAGCCCCTGTAGAGAGCACGCATTGTCCTTGCTCAAGCTGCTCTCCTTGCCCGGGCCACAGGCTCATTTGACGTGGTGGCTGGTGCCATTGTGCTGTTGCGTTGCCGCTGACTCCTTCTTGGCTTGTCTTGCAGGTATATCCGAACCATGTACCTGGGGATCCAGAGCCAGCGGCAGAAGGAACACCAGCGGCGCTTCTACTGGGCTATGATGTACGAATATGCAGACGTAAACATGTTGCGCCTCCTGGAGACTTTCCTCGAGAGCGCCCCCCAACTGGTGCTACAGCTCTGCATTATGATCCAAAAGAACCGTGCAGAAACATTACCATGTAAGTGCCCCTCGCGCCCGCCCCGACCCCACACACACACTCCTTTGCTCAGCGGCCGATGGATGATTTTGCCGACGGTCCACGCTACCTCAGCTGTTGCGTAAGGTGATGTCTCTGTGTACAAAACTCATTCCAGGTCCCTGCTGCGCTCACTTGGTAAATCTCTGCTCGTTCAGCTAGAGAAAACGCTCCTAGCTTAGCCTCTGGGCTACCAACGAGGTCTAGAGGGCCGGTAACAAGGCTGGGAAAGAGGAGTTCCTTGGTTTGCCTCCTGGTTCTGTTACTGGCTTCTTGGCATTGGGTGAGTCAACAGAAGCCTTCTGCGCCTCAGTTTCCCCATCCGCGCAGATGGGACGGTTCATCCTCTTGGCCTCGGAGGGTTGCCGTGAGGGCAGCGTGGTCAATGTTTGTGCAGTGCTCTGTCTGCCCCAACCCAGGCGAACTCCCTTAAAATCATCATTGGCAATGAGGAAGGACATGATGATGGGCATCGCTCTTCTTAGGACAAGAGGAGGAGGCAACTGGCTTGCCTCAGTTGCTGCTGTATGTCAGCCACTGGCAAATGCCAGTCTGGCATGCCAGGCGCTGTAGATGTATGGTGAAACCCACCTCAAACAGGAGTTTGTGGAGCCAGGGCCAAGTTCATTACTGCAATGAGCAAGGAAACACATTGCTAGAAGCCTTTAGCTTCCTGTGGCCAACTACTAATCTGTGTCAGCGGCTCGGTCCTCCAAGGCAGTCTGCAACCAGGCCTTACTGCCCACAGCTGGGCTGTAGTCCCTGCCAACCTGCAGGCTCCTGCAGCCAGGAGAGCACGGGCTGCTGCAAGCTTCCTCCAGCCAGCCTGCTCCATGAATGCACTGACTACAGCCCACACCCTGCGCTTTAGGAACGACGGGGATGTTTCAGAGCAACAGCTTATTGGAGCTGACGTTCTTCATGTAGGTGTCACTGCCTATTGGCATAGGTGTGACTATAGCCTGGCTCACTGCTACATCCATTGCTGAAGCAAGAGAGCCGTGCCTGGGTCCTGACAGTGCCAAAGGAGGCTCTGATCAGAGCTTGTCTCACTCAGCCTTGTCAAAGATGTGATGCCCATCCTCTTCCCTGAGCAAACAGGCCAGAGCCATCAGGATGCCAGCATACGCTTCCAGGTAGGGTTAGATACAGTGTCAGCGGGGAGTCACAGAGAGCCACAAAAAACTTCTGGCTGGAGGTTTACCTGGTCGAGTTTGCATCCTGGGCAGCAGACTTGTACCTGATAGGATTTACACCCCGCGGCGCTGCAATGGGGGCAGAGGGACTCGAGGTTGCGGCTGCACGGAACGGATTGGGAGCAGGACGCTGCTGTAAGGGAAATCATAGAAAGTTAGGAAGTTTGGGTTGGAAGGGACTTCAGGAGAAATGTCACTGCCAGTAACCAGGTTAACCCTGCTCTAGCCTCACAGCTGCTACCGATTCATATGGCGATCCACAGGGCTAAGCCCTTAACTCAATGGTGGCTGCAGGTCCAGGGAAGGGTTAATGTGCTGTCGGGGCAGATCTGACCGGGGCAAATCGAGGATTTTGTAGAGGAAAGTTTGGAACAGCGACTGGGCTGCAAGGGGGGCAGCAGCCCCACTCCCAGCCTCTGCCCACTCCCCTCAGGACAGACCCCACCACAGGAGCAGCAGCTCAGGACTTGCTTTAAGTTCCTCAACTTGGGAACAATTTTCCCTCCCCACTCCGCTCCCCTCCATGCACCAGGGCATGTCCTCCCCCCCTACTCCCAACCCCTTCTCCCCCACCCACCGCTGCACTTGTCCCCACTGTCTCCAGCTGAACTGGGTGCAAAAGGAGCTCCAAAGCTGACCCTGCCCCGCTCCAGCCAGGCTCAGCCGGCAGAAGGGGTCTGGCTCCTGCTGCTGTCCTTGGCTGAGACTGGCTCCCTAAAGCACAGCACGGCTAAAACAGGCAGGAGCAGCTCCAGAGCCCCCCCAGTGCCCCCAGTTCAGCTGGACACAGTGGGGACAAGTGCAGGGGTGGGTGGGGGAGCAGGGAAGAGAGGACATGCCCTGGTGCATGGAGGGGAGGGGAGTGGGGAGGGAAGATTGGAGGCAACAGAGTAGTGGGGAACGTGGGGAGGAAGAGTAGGCGCCGTTGAGCAAAGAGGGGAAAGGAGGGGAAATTCGTACCTGATCCGAGGATTTAGAAAAGTCCTCTGCTGCTGCTCCTGTAGCATCACTGTCCATGCCACTGCTTCTGGATGTGCAACCGGTGGTGACACCTCCCCTCATGGTCCCTCTCCTATGGGGAAACAGGGTGAGGCTGAGGGGGAAGCTCTTGCCCCCCACTCCTCTCTGCTCTGCCCTGAGCACCTGGAGCTCATGCCTGGGTCACCCATCCTTAATCCCATTATTGTTCCTGCCTCCGCATCCTGCTACAGGTCTGCAAAGCTTTGGTTGTGATTTTTGGCCAATAGAAAATGTCAACATTGAAAGTTCACCTGTCCCCAGCAAGGTCTGCATGGAGTTGGGCAAGAGACCAGCCGAGGGGTCCGGGGATCCTGGCATTCACCAGGGCGGTGGAAGCCCCAGCTTGAGCTTCCACACCCCTGGGTAAATGCCTGGAGCACTGGGCTATAGCCCCAGTCTCAGTGTCCTATCTGCACTGCTCTGTTTTGTATCAATAATTAAATGTCCATGGGGCGGATGCACACTGGACAGCCCAGCGATTATAGCACTCCAGAGCCGTGGGAGACCCCCTGCTTGAGTCCCTACAGCAGGCAAGATATAATTACCCATACAGAGTGGAATAGCCCAAGCAGCGGAGCTGCAGGGTGTTTCTATACAGCAAATCCTGCAACTCTTGTAGATAATATGCCGGCTAGTGATACCCTAACAAGCTCTAGCCCAGTTAGAGCAATGTAGCCACAGCAGCAGGGAGCTTGAAGCAGGCCAGCCTCCAAATATTTCCCCAGTTTGTCCTGCACTCCACTGTGTGCTTCTGAGGCTATGCTGCTATCCAGACCTAAGCGAACCCATGGAAAACAAGCTTGGATATGTCTATCCAAGTTGGAGTCCCTTCAGGGGAAGCAGCGTAGATGCATCTCTCCAAACAAGCCTGTACTAGATTAGGTAGGCGCCCAGTGGCCAAGAGGACTCATGGTAGAGGTGATCTCTTTTAGTAGACCAACTAGATTTTTGGAAAAAAAAAAAAAAATCTTTAATTGCAAGCTTTTGGGCACAAGCAGCCTTCTTCAGGCATCAGAGAACAGATTGTAAACGTTCTCCTGGGTAGAAATGAAAGTTCAGGAGAACGTTTACAATCTGTTCTCGGGTGCCTGAAGAAGGGAGTTTGTACCCAAAAGCTTGCAATTGAAGACATTTTTTGCAAACATCTAGTTGGTCTCATAAAAAAATATCACCTCTACCATGAGTCCTGATTGCTTTTTCCTCTAGACCAATACAGCTACAACCTGCTTACCTGACACAGTGGCCAAGATGCTTTCATAGGCTATTTCCATACTTGTAGATTCAGGCTCAAGGGCCTTCTCTGAATGAGGCAGAGTAGGCATGTGATCCACAGTCCCGGTGAATGCCTTTATGATTGGGCTAGGTGTCTCTTTTTTTCTATGACAGGCTTTGAAAGATCTCCGTTTTGTCCTGATGCAAAGCAGGAGATCTGTTGAGATCTTGCAAGTTGCTATGAGTTGGGAAAACCGGATCCCCCCAGCTCTCGTGACAGCACAGTGGTCTGCGGTGTTGCTCATGGAGCTGAGGGACAAGAGGCTTGCACTCTAGCCCCAGTCCGACCTCTGACCCACTGTGTGATCCTGGACCATTTGTTTCCCCTTCCTCCACGTTGGATTCCCTGCCTGTAAATAGTATAGCAAATGTGAGCGCCATCACACTGGAAGAAGGAGCTACAAGTATTGCATTCATGCAAAGAGCACTTAAACATCTTCATACCAGCACAGCGTGACTCTACCATAGGGAACGTAGACACATGCAATCAATACTCAGCAAGGGAATGCTAGAAGTTGGGATGTCATTATTTTTGTGGCTTTCTGTGACCCCGTGTAGCGACCAACCAAGGATTAGGGTTAAGACCCCTGGTTTGGCTTGGCCTGGTTTGGCTCTGTCTGCCTATCTAACAATCAGCTAATCAATCATTATTCCTTTCTACAAGGCGTGCTTCAGTCCAACACAAGTACCGAGGAGATCTTCTTGGGCCTGTATAATACAGGACATCAGATCAGATGAGCAAGGAGCCCATCATGCCCTTAAAATCTATAAACCTAACCTGTTGAAACGCCAGATCGGGGCATGAGTGTAGTTCATTGACCAGGTGGCTGGATTTTTACCATGCTCATCTCTGCTGCACAGCGAATGGGTTTTTCCTCTTAGCTCCATCACCCACCAGGCTGCACCTCTTACCAGCCAGCATCAGCGATCGGGCTGCGTGTAAGCACTGAAGAGTCCTTCTCCCGCCCACTCCAGCACCTGGGTTCTTGAGATCCAGATGCACATTTTCACTTTGCCGGCTCTGTGCACATCCGACGGTTCTTTAGATGCTGAATGTGTTGCCCTGCTGCCACTTGAGCTGTGTGCTGTGCTGAGTGGGCTGAACACTGCTAATGCAGCCTGAGCTGCAAAGCTTCCTACGAGGGACTGATCCTTCCTTGCTAAGGTGCAAGGATTCACCGGGGCTACCTCAGTTCAGTCACATGCAGCTTTCCAGCTCATGCACGTCATTATGCAAAAGAAAAGGAAATGCCAAGCAAAATCAATATAGTGAGGCAGACAAAAATCAAAGGAAAGTGAGGTGCTATTCAACAACGACTAGGTAAGAAAACACATTTCTGTTCAATGCATTTCGTAGGGCCTGAGCCCCTGACACATTTTTAGCAGCATGATTTGCATTGGTTTTGAATATCAAGGTAAATGATAGTGGGAGCCGATCAGCAGGTCTTCTAAGGTAGCTGCATGAAGAAGGATGCTGTTACGGTCTCTTACCAC